TATAATATTATATAACTATTGAATGGTTGATGGTCTGAGCCAACATATGACACTTTTAAAATTGTTAGTTTCAAACAATTAGAATATACAACTTATATTGATATTGTAATAAAGCAAGATATGATTAGTTTCTTACAGTTACAATATCAATATAAGTTGTATATTCTAATTGTTTGAAACTAACAATTTTAAAAGTGCCATATGTTGGCTAAGACCATCAACCATTCAATAGTTATATAATATTATATATATATGTATATATTATATATTACATAATATATATACATATACTTACACAGGTACTATGTATGATTGATCATTTTCTTTGTAATCGACAATACTTTAACTATAACTATGGTAGTAAATTTTTGACTTGTTAAATGCATTTGCATAAAAACACATTTCAATTAAGTTTTATATTAATTACGTAATTTAAGAAGACTGTCTTGAATGATCAGAAGAACTAATATTACTTTTAACATATTTGAATTGAAAAACAAACTAACTATCCTGTACTCCCGGGCTAACTTCGATGATGATCTGAGGAACATTTCTTTGCATTGAAGAATACGAGTAACACAATACAATTATGGGTGTACCATTTTAAAAATAATAATACGTCATAGGTTTGAGTGCAGTAAAGCAAAAATGAATTCAGGTTGGCTTCGTATGGAACCGTACCGTTTGTTCATTACTGTTATTCGAATACCATGTATGATGAGTCGAAATATGATATTCATTATACTTTCATTTTCTTATTTAAAAGAATCTTTTTGTGGACCGAAATTCATAGCTCAGCCTTCGGACAATTATGCAGTTAAAGGAAATACTCATTGGTTTCCTTGCATCATCGATAAGCTTGAAAATGGCCAGTCATTTCAATGGTATAAAAACGGACGACCAATTAATACAGGAACGAGAATTTCAATACAAAGTAAAGAAAATGAACCAAGCAGTATACTTCTGATAACTGGAGTTGTTCTAGCCGATGCAGGCCAATATCACTGCGCTATTGTACAGGAATCGAACTCTAAAACTATTATTCAATCACGGACAGCGACTCTCATTGTTCATTCACTACCTTCACCTCAGTATCCGTATTGCTCTGTACCAACATCAACTTTTATCGCTGGATCTATGGTTACATTGTCATGTTTATCTCAAAAAGTACAGCCTCCAGTAACTTTGAGTTGGATTCATTCGATAGGTATCGAGGATCAAGTAACAATATTAAAAGAAGAAGGAAAAAACATATCTTTGGTGTTTAGTGTAACTGCCAGAAAAGAATATAACAACGCTGTTTTTACCTGTAAACAAGTATCACCTTTGACAACAAACAAAACAAACAATTTCACAACATGTTCAGTAGGGCCTTTGGAAATTTTGTATAAGCCGGAGGCTATGATTCAACACGCAAACCCAACTTTGCCTGGCCGAGAGACGATTGCATTCTGTCAGACTTCATCTAATCCACCTGTCACGAAATATCAATGGTTATTTGACCCACATATTCCTGCTGATGAGTATAGCATAGATGAAACAGGACAAATTTTGAAACTTTTAAATCCAATGATCAAACAATCTGGAACTAATATAACATGTGTTGCTACAAATAGTATAGGCCATGTGTCCTCTTCAATAATTTTACAGGTGGCTCAAGTGGATTTCGAAAATGAACATACTACAGGTGAATCGACCGGTAGTCAATTTGAAGGCATCAATAAAGACATACATTTATCCCTAGATGTTGTTATTATCATCGTTGCCGGCGTTGTTATTATTGTTGTACTTGTTGTTTTAGTTCCAGTCTACCATTATTGTTTGTGTCGTAATCATAACACAACAGCAGTTGATTCTTCAGGGAAAGAGGTAATTCAATCTGAAGTGTATTATGAGGCTAGAGAAGGAGTAATTTTAAGACATACGATTCAAGATCGTTCATTGCCTCGTGTACCTACTACAGAGGTATATGGTCATTGGAGACATTCAACAGCATCACAAGTTCCCAATGATCTTGAGTCACATAGTTACATTTATATTGATACAGAAAACGACTAATCAATTATGTAATATAAAGTTTTTCTTTTAGTTTTTTTTTTTAAGTGTAATTATACTTAAAACTTATATTCCATGGGTTAGTTTTTGTTGTATATACTATTTTTTTTTTTTTTGCTTCATTTTAGTTCATACATCAACTCATTTATGAATACATTCAAACGTAAAAATGATACTGTTGAACCGTGCTGTATTCCAATAGAATGTTTAAGAAAGAGTTTTTAACGCATTGCCTATTAAAATATATTTTAGCTTTCATGTGTGTATGTTATTACTTAAGTGCAAAAAAATGAGAATTGTATTATAAATACGGTTCATCACATGATCATAGCCAGGCTTTACATTTAAACTATATTACAAACGGTAAACACAATTTTTCTTCAATAGGGTTTATGAATATTTAAAAACATATATTAGTTATAGTGATTTGGGCATTGTTCAATGTTTCTCTCAAGATCACGATGTTCTAGGGAATTTTTGAATAAAGAAACTAATGTCATTATGTCAGTAAGTTATATGTATCTTGTATCTGTTATTGTTTTCACTAAATTTCGATGGATTCAATGTGATTTAAATTTTCAACAAACGCCATTAAGTGATGTGGTGAAAGAGAACAACGCTCATACATTTACGTGTATCGTCAGTGGTATGCAGAATGAGCAGCAACTGATTTGGTTAAAAGATGGAAAGAAAATAATAAAAACTGACGAAGATTTGGCTAGATGGACGGTTGGAAATACTGGGAATATCACTATGTTTGTTATAAATAGAGTTGCTCGAAATGACAAAGGAGCTTACACTTGCGCGGTGGTGTCTAAACTATCTGGTCAGATCTACAAACGTTCCCGGGAAGCAATATTAACTGTTAACTCGCTTCCTAAGCCACAGTATCCGATTTGCTCTGTTTCTGATATTAATGTTGAGGCAGAATCAACAATCACACTATCATGCACTTCAGAAAATATAGAACCAGAAGTAAATTTGAAGTTCATGCAACAATCGAAGTTTCTCGGAGGAAAAATGATAGTACAAGATGATGACGATCTTGTAATTCTTCAGCTTGAATTAAAAGTTTCTAAAAAAAATGACAGAGACACTATAATATGCCAACAATCATCAAGCCTGTTACCAAATGATTTTTCCACTTGTTCGGTTGGTCCATTAAATGTACGTTATATACCCGAAGTCATCATTCAACATACAAATCCTGTATTACCTGGTCGTGAAACAATTGTGTTTTGTCAAACGACGGCCAATCCACTAGTTACGAACCACAGATGGACGTTTATTCCTACTATTCCAGAAAACGATTATATAACTGATGAAACGGGACAAATATTGAAGTTATTGAGACCAACTATAAAACAAAACGGGACTCGTATTACATGTACTGCTGCTAATAATATTGGTGAACAAACTTCGTCTGTAACAATGATTGTTGCATATCAAGCAATATCATCAAACAATGACGATGTAGCAGAAAAAACAGAGAATGGAGAGAAATATCAAACGAGAAATAGGGGAATAAGTTTATCATTGGATGTTGTAATAATCATCGCTTCTGGTGTTGTTCTTATAGTAGTTTTAATCGTATTGGTCCCTATTTACCATTACTGTTTGTGTCGTAACAATGATACTGCGACCTTAAATGCATCAGGAGAAGCAGTAACTCAACCAGAAGTATATTATGAATCTAGAGATGGAGTGATTTTAAGACATACGATACAAGATCGTTCGTTGCCTCGTGTACCTACTACAGAAGTGTTTGGTCATTGGAGACATTCAACGGCTTCACAAGTTCCTAATGATCTTGAGTCACATAGTTACACCTATATAGATACTGAGAATGAGTAACAACATTTTGCAAAAACTCACAATTCTGACACTAAAATTCATTCAATGTTAATTGTTCCTTTAAATAAAATATACATAGTTTTGTCTTATTTTTAATATATATATTTATATATATATCTTAAGAATACCACAATAATTTTCAACCGTAATACCATAGGCAAGAGTTGGTTATAAAAAACTAAAATTAAAAGACAGTGATTGACTTATAAAGCAATTGAGGCATGTTGTGGCAAAATGGCTAAGTTGTAGCAAAAATTGAAATTCGAATTATTGGTATTTTCAGATACTTCAGCATATAATCTTTATAATAAGAGGTCATTCATTGAACTTGGACATTTCAAGTCTAGTTATTGGAAAGTGAATTACAGCACCCTTAGAGTCAAGATTAATATGATTCTGAGTAATTGCCTTCCAAAGTTATTTGTGCATACATTGCTTAATATAAATAACTATCAAAATAATGTAAATAAACGATTCGTTGCCCATTTCCAGAACTAATACTTTGAGACATGTTTAATAAGACATCAAACTGTTGATCTACAGTTTAATGTTACACACACTGTAACAAAAACATTAAAGTTTATTTATGAAATTTTGTAAACCGTTTTACATATCACAGATTAATAGTAAGTTATAAGCATCAGTAATTATTAATAGTCATCATTCATAAAATATTAAAAAATAAAGATGGTACTGGTGAACCTGTATTCTAATAGGGCATTTAAAACAATGTTTATGTATTCCCTATGACTATTGCTCTCATGATAATCTGTTATAAATAGACGGTATAAAATTATTCTGCATAATATAATCAATGATCTTTAATCACAAAAAAATAAATTAATGATAAATTTCGTTTAAAGCATTATCAACAATATTCTACAACTGAAGTCCATCCATTATTTACAAAAATTGTGTTTAAGAAAATAATTGTTTTTTAAATAAAATTTTATCATCATGTGTGCATGTTATTACTTAAGGGTAACTGACTAATTTATAGCAAATGAGAAATGTACTATAATTACGGTATATCATGTAGCTATAGCCAGCACGTACTGTACTGTACAACTATGTTGTAAACGGGAAACACAATTTTTCTTCAATAAGGTAATGGCTATATTTTAAGTAATTTAGTTGATAGTGATTTTGACATTTAGTCAATGTGTCTCTCAGATAAAGAAGCTCTAAAGATTAAAGAAACTAATATCATTATGTCAGTAAGTTATATGTTTCTAGTATTTATTTTTGTAATAGTTTTCATACAATTTCGATGGATTCAATGTGATTTAAATTTTCAACAAACACCGTTAAGTGATGAAGTGATGGAGGGTAACGCTCATACTTTTACATGTGTCGTCAGTGGTATGCAGAATCAACAGCAACTAATGTGGTCAAAAGATGGAGAAAAAATAATAAAAACAGACAAAGATTTGCCGAGATGGACTATTGGAAATAATGAACTCTTAGAGACTGGAAATATTTCTATGTTTGTTATAAATAGAGTAGTGCGAAATGATAAAGGAGCTTATACTTGCGCTGTAGTGTCTAAACATTCAGGACAGATTTACGAGCGTTCCCGGGAAGCAATATTAACTGTTAACTCGCTTCCTAGGCCCCAGTATCCTATTTGCTCTGTTTCTGATATTAATGTTGAGGCAGGATCAACAATCACATTATCATGCACATCAGAACATATAGAACCAGAAGTGAGTTTGAAGTTTATGCAACAATCTAAGCTTCTCGGAGGAAAAATGATAGTACATAATAATGACAAACTTGTCGATCTACAGCTTGAGTTGAAAGTTACTAAACAAAATGACAGAGCCACTATAATATGCAAACAATCATCAAGTTTGTTACCAAATGAGTTTGCCACATGTTCAGTTGGTCCATTAAATGTACGATATAGACCAGAAGTCATCATTCAACATACAAATCCTGTGTTACTTGGTCGTGAAACAATTGTGTTTTGTCAAACGACGGCCAATCCACCAGTTACGAACCACAGGTGGACGTTTATTCCTAATATTCCAGAAAGTGAATATACAACTGATGAAACGGGCCAAATATTGAAGTTATTCCGACCAACAATAAAACAAAACGGGACTCGTATTACATGCACTGCTCGGAATAATATTGGCGAACAGTCTTCCACTGTAACAATGATGGTTGCATATCAAGCAATATCATCCAAAAATGAAAATGTAATAGAAAAAACAAAGAATGGAGAGAAACATCAAACACAAAATGCGGGAATAAGATTATCATTGGATGTTGTAATTATCATCGCTTCTGGTGTTGTTCTTATCGTAGTTTTAATTGTATTAGTTCCTATTTACCATTACTGTTTGTGCCGTAACAATGATACTGCGACCTTAAATGCATCAGGAGAAGCAGTAACTCAACCAGAAGTGTATTATGAATCTAGAGATGGAGTAATTTTAAGACATACGATACAAGATCGTTCGTTGCCTCGTGTACCTACTACAGAAGTGTATGGTCATTGGAGACATTCAACGGCTTCACAAGTTCCCAATGATCTTGAGTCACATAGTTACACCTATATTGATACTGAAAACGATTAATACATTCCGATAAGTTGTTTTATTTTATGTTTTAAGATTATCCTGTGTGAAAACTATAGAAATCAATTTATTATTTGTGGCTCAAAATATTAGGATTATCACTTCTTTTTATTCCTAATTACTTTATATAACAGTTTCATTATCTCAAGTAATTTTGTTTTAGTGTTTCATAATAATTGAATCAGTAAATGACCGACAATGAGGTCTAGTATCTACCGGATTGCTTAGTGCACTTCAAATCACTTCAAACAGTTAGTGACGTTTATTTTATGTACTTTTATTCCGATATACATTAAATACTCAATGGAGAAAGTTCAATTCAATGACCATCTTTTTGAAGCTCACGTTCGTCTTGGAAAGGACCATATATTTTCTTGTGTAGTTAGTGCCATGACTGATCAAAAGTATCTTGCTTGGTCAAAAGATGGAGTTCAGATCCAAACACTGGAAGATGATATTCGAATAATAGTTGGACATAACGAGATTAAGTTTGGAAATTTAACAACGCTGGCTGTAAATCGAGGACTAATTAACTGGACTAATCGAGGAACGTTCAGTAAGGGCTAGACTAACAGTTTTATCACAACCTTCTCCAGCTTATTCAATGTGTTCTGACATGATCTTGATGCTGCCATTGGATCAGCATTAACATTTTCTTGTGTTTCTAAACGTGTCCAACCACCCATAAGTTTAACAATCACATGTGATTTAAAGGGAATACAAACTGGAATATCATACGTATAAAATGAAAATTTAAAGACATTAAAATGAGAAGAACAGCAAGAAAAGAAGATAACAGTGCCATTTGTACATGTCATCAGACATCGTCTCTTGCTCCTGAAACAGAACACACATGCTCTCTTGGTCCTTTGAATGTTCAATATAAACTAGAAATCCAGTTTCAATACACTAATCCAGTAATACCTGAGGGAGACACGATTTTATTTTGTCAGACATCTTCTAACCCTCCTATTACAGGATACCAATGGCATATGAAACCTGAATTTGAGCTAAATGAATAAATGTTGATGAAACTGGACAGATATTAAAATTATTCAGACCTTCTTTGCAACAAAGTGGAACAATTATTACTTGTACAGCTACTAATAAAATTGGCCATTCATCGTTAACAGTAAAGATTATTGTTACAATCAAAAATACTGTTAATGAAAAAGTTCATAATAATATACGACACTGTCAAAAAACAATGACGATAAAAAAAGTTTATCGTTAGATGTTGTAATCATCATTGCAGTCGATGTTGTTATTATTGTTGTACTTGTTGTGCTGGTTCTCATCTACCATTAATGGTTATTTAGTAATAACGGTACTGCGATTGATTCGTCAGGAAAAGAGGTAACTCAACCTGAAGTATATTATGAGGCTAGAGAGGGAGTAATTTTAAGACATACAATAAGAGATCGTTCGTTGCCTCGTGTACCTACTACAGATGTGTATGATCATTGGAGACATTCAACAGCTTCACAAGTTCACATAGTTATACTTACATTGATACCGAGAATAATTGTGTTAACATTCTTTTGATCAAGGTATTAAATTTGATCTATATATATACTGTCTCTTATACACATCTAGATGTTAGATACAGAGAACTATTTAATATTTTTATTTCATTATTTAAAGTATTCAATAAAAAACTCGTATTACCAATCTTTTGATAGTTGGTTAAATTCGTGATATCAAGTGTATTTTGAAAATAATTTCAGTACTGTAACAAAACTTTCGTTATTTGTGGCTGGAATATGTATATATTCAGTTTCTCATTGACAATAGAGGATCAGTCAGTGTATGTTTATTTCAACATTGTTTGAGATGTAATCGAAGAATAAATATATTCCACAAAATGTCAGAAAATGTATTGCACTTTATATTGTTAAGTGTATGTTTGTCAATGAATTCAAAATATTGTAGCGCAGTTCTACAGTTTGAAGAACAACCACAAGATGCCCGTATTAAACTTGGTGAGGATCACACATTTTCCTGCATTGCAAGTGGTATGCAAGAGCAAGATCGGCTTACTTGGTTGAGGGATGGAATTGAGGTTGATACACTGATAGAATATAATAGTCGGCTGACAATCGGGTATAACAAGCTCACAATAGGGAAGTTAACTACATTATTTATAAATGATGCTTTAAAAACCGACGATGGAATCTATAAATGTATTATCATACCGTCTAGGGCAGAAGTAAATCAGAAATATTCTGATGAAGCTACACTAACAATTCTGTCACTACCTTCACCAGCTTACCCGTTATGTTCTGTACATGATCTTGATATTGCCATTGGATCAGTAATAACATTTTCTTGTGTTTCTGAACGTGTCCAACCACCAGTAAATTTAACAATCACGCGTGGTTTAATAGAAATCACATATGGAATATCATTCGTAGAACGTAACGATTTAAAGACATTAGAAATGAGATGGAGAGCAAGAAAAGAAGATAATGGCGCCATTTTGACATGCCATCAGACATCACCACTTGCTCCTGAAACAGAACACACATGTTCTGTTGGTCCTTTGAATGTTCAATATAAACCAGAAATCCAGATTCAATACACAAATCCAGTAATACCTGAGCGAGAGACGATTTTATTTTGTCAGACATCTTCTAACCCTCCTATTACGGGATACCAATGGCATCTGAAACCTGAATTTGAGCTAAATGAATATAATGTTGACGAAACTGGACAGATATTAAAATTATTCAGACCTTCGTTACAGCAAAGCGGAACAAATATTACATGTACTGCTACTAATGAACTTGGCCGATCATCGTTAACAGTAAAGCTAATTGTTGCAAACCCAAATAGTGTTAATGAAAAAGGTAATGCCAATATACGACAACTGTCCGAAAACAATGACGGTGGAATTCGTTTATCATTAGATGTTGTAATTATCATTGCTGCCGGTGTTGTTATTATTGTTGTACTTGTTGTGCTAGTGCCCATCTACCATTATTGCTTGTGCAGTAATGTTAACACTACGACAGTTGATTCTTTGAGAAATGAAGTATCCCAACCTGAAGTGTATTATGAGGCTAGAGAAGGAGTTATTTTAAGACACACGATACAAGATCGTTCATTGCCTCGTGTACCAACAACAGAAGTGTATGGTCATTGGAGACATTCAACCGCTTCGCAGGTTCCCAATGATCTGGAGTCACATAGTTACACTTATATTGATACCGAGAATGATTAATACTTTACTAATTTTAGACTCATGCGTTCTGTATTTAAAAGTTTAATATCTAGGTTTAATATTGTAATATGATATTACTTTATACTTGATAAAACAAAAATCATATTATGAGCTTGCATGCTATTAGTTGGAGATATCAGTTATTGTTGGTCTTACGATATATGATTTCTTAGTGCTCCTAACGATACACATTTCCAAATGATAACTTGCTCTAAACGGCTTTGAAACGTACTCATTTCGACAGAATAGTGGTAGTAAAACAGAATATAACAAACAATTTTTACTAAAAGTAGTTTTTTAAATATTCTGAAATATGTTACATTTTAGTCGTTAATACGTTTAAAACAGCTGAAATTAACATTATTGCGTACACATTTATGTTCTTTGAGTCTACATTTAGACATAATTCAATTAAATATTTTGGGGTTTTAAGCATTTGACCATTATTTAAATATTTTATGAGATTGTGAAATAATAAGTTCTTCACACACTGATTGCGAATCACAGTTATCTTTTAAATCTGGTGCAGCATGATGAACCAATATAGTAAAAAATATCTTATTTAGAACGATAGTTAAATATTAATCATCAATATAAAAAAACTCATTAAATGTTTACTAAAACCTTGTAAGAAATAGCTGTAATTTCAGTCGATTATACAATACGAGAAACACAACTTTAGAAGAAGCTGATACAGCCATGAATAACTCAAATATACTTGGTTTTAGAAAAGCATTCAGTATTGTTCAGCCTTTGATGGAAATATTAATAGTAAGCAGGTTTTCTTCAGCAACTTTGCCTCAGTATGTACTTTTTAAAAATAATCATCTTGTTTGTGATACAAAGCCGCATAAATTTGCCTATATTTATTATTGTTGGGTGTGAGGCTACTTTTAAGTTTGAGGATGAGCCATCTGATAAAAGTGTAAAGATTGGCAAAGATCATTCATTATCTTGTCTTGTTAGTGGTATTATCAATGAGAAGCTTACTTGGTTTAAGGATGGTACTGAAATAGGTTTAACAGAGTCTACGGACAACAGAATATCGATAGCAAATAACGAAATAGGTTTGTACGGAAATTTCACCACATTGGTTATAGACAATGTAATAGCAAGTGATGCCGGATTGTATCAATGCGTTGCCATATCACCGACAACAGGATCAGTTGTATATAGTTCATCAGGGGCTCTTTTAACAATCCTTACATTGCCATCACCAGAATATCCTATTTGTTTTGAGCCTGATAGTGATATCATTGCAGGATTGACAGTAAAATTAACATGTGTATCGGAAAAAGTTCATCCACCAGTTACTTTAAAATTTACTCGCAACTCACAACTTGTAAACACGAGAATATCATTAACAGGTAAGGGTAACCTAGTAACACTTGAACTTACAATGACAACGACAAAAAATGACAATGGTGATATTTACGAATGTCATCAAAATTCTTCGCTGGATTCAAATTATCAAAAGTCATGTATGATTAAACCTTTGAACATACAATACAAGCCTGAGATAAAGATACAGCATACTAATCCCGTTTTACCTGGGCGAGAGACGATTCTCTTTTGTCAAACATTTGCTAACCCTCCTGTTATACATTATCAATGGAAATCAGTGCCTCAATTAAAAGTGGAAGACATAAGCATTGACGGAACCGGACAAGTTTTAAAGCTCTTGCGACCTTCATTGACACATAGTGGAACAAATATAACATGCATTGCTACTAATGAAATTGGACAAGTATCATCGTCTATAGAATTACACGTTTCTCAAACAGTAAGAAATGCAGAAAATAGTAATAATCCACACGAATCAACAAGTAATCAAATGACAGAAATGTCAAGTAAAGAAATTCGTTTATCATTAGATGTTGTGATTATCATCGCTGCCGGTGTTGTTATTATTGTAGTACTTGTTGTTCTGGTTCCCGTCTACCATTATTGTTTGTGTCGTAACAATAATACAACCACATTTGATTCTTCAGGAAAAGAAGTGACACAACCTGAAGTGTATTATGAAGCTAGGGAAGGAGTTATTTTAAGACATACGATACAAGATCGTTCATTGCCTCGTGTACCTACTACAGCAGTGTATGGTCATTGGCGACATTCGACAGCTTCACAAGTTCCCAATGATCTTGAGTCACATAGTTACACGTACATTGATAGAGAGAACGATTGATGTTTTTCTGATCATGGTTTGTAATCACAATAATATAGTTTATTATTTGTTACTTTAGAACTCTTATTTAAAGAATGCTCAATTATAATTTATTTTACTCTAGATATAAAAAAAATTTAATTGGTTGTTACGTACGTAGTGGAAAAATTAAATACGATATTGTATACGTGGACCTTATATTAAATTCTCAATTTTATACTGTGATTCTGATATTGTAATTTATAATAGACAAGTTGGAAACTAATTATATCAACATGTCTAAAACAGTTTAAAATATTGCTGTTGCCAAAAGTGCTTAATTAATGGGTACGTTGATATTTGATTGTTGTTGTGCTGTTATTTTTTAGATGTAATAATAATGAGACCGACTTACACTTGGTGAAGATTATGCCCTATTGTTTATTGTGAGTGACGTCAAACAGATGTCTAAGTTTAAAGATAGTACGCGAATATAGTTAACATGTGATGAAGATGATACAGTAAAATTTTTTTACTGTCTATAGATGCTGACTGTATTAGTGTGTAGTAATATCTGAGTAATCGATTTTGCAGGTAGATAGTTTACCAGAAGTGAGATTATACAACATTTTTTTAACATTAACAGGGTTTTCCATTCTAATTCTATTTTCTGTTCCAAGCCTAAAGGAGATAATTATTGATGGTGAAATAAACATGGATTTCTGAAAGAGTTTATCCAATGATTCTGCAAAAAAAAAATCGAGGATCGAAACAAGTAAAATATGAGGAAAGCATTCCTCATACTGTAACTCTGTAACATCCCAATTTACAGTAACAACGACAAAAGATGCCAATGGTGTCACATTACAAATGTCATGAATAATTATCACTGGGTTCGAATGAGCAAAAATCATGTACAATGAAGCCTTCAATAATAATAATAATAATAATAATAATAATAATAATAATCCAGATAATCTAAACAAAAGATTCTTTTCTGTCAGACATTGGCTAACCAACCTGTTATCAACGGAAAAAAGGTGCCTCAATTATAAGGGGAATTCTTATAACAGTTGTACTGGACAAAAATCCAAATGCATCAATTGTTTCCGAATACAATAGGAATAAATTTAGTTAGATGTTGTATACGTAGAACACAAATTATTATTTGACTAGTCGCAATATGAATATATAAATATAATGTTATTAAAGTCAAAGTTTCAATCTGATTTCCTGTGGTGTTGTAAGACAAGACAAGTGTGATCCAAATGCGGGCTTCAGGATGCTTCATAAACTGTTTAAAACATTGGTGATACTAATAATGCTTAGTTTGATGTTTACATTTACAGTAGATATTTGTGGTGCTGTTATTGTTTTTGAAGGTGTTCCATCTGGTGGCAAAATTAGGCTTGGTGAGGATTATGCATTATCCTGTGTTGTTAGTGGCATGGTAAACGAGGAACTGACTTGGTTTAAAGATGATACTCAAATACATTTAACAGAAGATATGGAAGACGCAAGGATTTCTATTGCAAAAAATGAATTATCTAACGGAAATTTCTCCACATTATTTATAAGCAATATAATACGAAGTGATGCTGGACTATATCAATGTGTTGTAATATCTCAAAGATCTGGATTGGTGTTAAAAAAATCACCAGAAGCTCTATTAATTATCCTTTCTCTACCAGCACCAGACTACCCAATTTGTTCTCAGCCAGATCCTCAAATAGTTTCTGGATCAACGCTAACATTAACTTGTGGTTCTGAAATAGTTGCCCCACCAGTCAATTTACAATTTACTCGCAGCTCACAAATTGTAAACAAGGGTATAACATTTACAGAAGAGGATAACTTGATTGAACTTAAACTTAGAATAATAACGACAAAAGATGACAATGGTGTCGTTTACAAATGTCATCAGTATTCTTCACTTGATTCAAATTATCAAAAGTCATGTATGATGAAACCTTTGAACATACAATACAAACCTGAGATAAAGATACAGCATACTAATCCAGTATTACCTGGACGGGAGACGATTCTATTTTGTCAGACGTTTGCTAACCCTCCTGTTTCACATTACCAATGGACATCAGTGCCTCAATTAAAAGCGGAAGATATCATCGTCGATGGAACAGGACAAATATTTAAATTATTACGGCCTACTTTAAAACAAAGTGGAACAAATATATCTTGTACTGCTACCAATGAAATCGGACAAGTGTCATCATTTATAGAATTACAAGTTTCCCAATCAATCAGCAAGTCAGAAAATAATAATAATCCTTACGAATCAACAAGTAATGTATCTGAAACGTCGAAGAAAAATATTCGTTTATCACTAGATGTTGTGATCATCATCGCTGCTGGTGTTGTAATTATTGTTGTACTTGTTGTTCTGGTTCCCATCTACCATTATTGTTTGTGTCGTAACACAATGACATTTGATTCTTCCGGGAAAGAGGTGACTCAACCAGAAGTGTATTATGAGGAAAGAGAAGGAGTTATTTTAAGACACACGATACAGGACCGTTCATTGCCTCGTGTGCCTACTACAGAAGTATATGGCCATTGGAGACATTCGACGGCTTCGCAAGTTCCCAATGATCTTGAGTCACATAGTTACACGTATATTGATACCGAGAACGATTAATTTTATCCAGATTATTTCTGAAAAATGTTGAATACGTAAAACACAACTTCATATTGGACTGGTAGTCACGGGGATATAGAATATAATGTTTATTTATGTCAAATTGCTATTTCATTCCTATATTTTCACCCAGTTTTTGATGATGTACACACTATTAAAACGAGTTTGAATGAAATTTGCTCGTCAATATGTTTCAACTATATAAAGCAATGGTAATAACAATAGCCATTAGTGTGATGGCTACGTATATGTTTGTTTGCTGTTTTGCTGTCTTTGCTTTTGAGGATGTACCATCAAATGACGAAGTTATGACTGGCAAGGATCATGCATTTTCGTGTGTTGTTAGCGGTATGATGTACGAAGAACTGACTTGGTTTAAAGATGGTAGGCAAATACATTTAACAGCAGACGTAGACGAAATACGAATTTCTATAGTGAAAAACGAATTATCTAACGGAAATTTGTCAACATTAGTTATAGATAATGTAATACGAAGTGATGCTGGGCTGTATCAATGTGTTGTCATATTACCGACATCTGCATCTGTGCTGGACCGTTCACCAGAAGCTGAGTTAAATATTCTTTCCTTGCCAGCACCAGAATATCCAATTTGTTCTGAGCCAGAAAGTGAAATCATTTCAGGATCGACGGTAAAATTAACATGTGTTTCTGAAAGGGTTCATCCACCTGTGAGTTTACAATTTATCCGCAACTCCAAACCAGTGAACACGGGGATAACATTCACAAAAACAGCTAACTTGGTAACACTTCAGTTTGCAAAAATAACAACAAAAATTGACAATGGTGACGTTTACGAGTGTTATCAATATTCTTCACTTGATTTGAATTATCAGAAATCATGCAGGACGAAGCCTTTAAACATACAATACAAACCCGAGATAAAATTACAACATACTAATCCGGTATTGCCTGGAAGAGAAACGATTCTCTTTTGTCAGACATTCGCTAACCCTCCTGTTTCACATTATCAGTGGACATCAGTGCCTCATTTAAAAGCGGAAGATATATTTACTGATGGAAATGGACAAGTATTGAAGCTGTTACGACCTTCATTAAAACAAAGTGGAACAAATATAACGTGCATTGCTACTAATGAAATCGGACAAGTATCATCCTCTATAGAATTACAAGTTTCTCAAACAATAAGAAATTCAGAAAATAATAAGAATCCACACGAATCAACAAGTAATCAAATGACAGAAATGTCAAATAAAGGAATTGGTTTATCATTGGATGTTGTTATCATCATTGCTGCCGGTGTTGTTATTATTGTTGTACTTGTTGTTCTAGTTCCCGTTTATCATTATTGTTTGTGTCGTAACAATAACATAACCACAATTGATTCTTTAGGAAAAGAAGTAACTCAGCCTGAAGTGTATTATGAGGCCAGGGAGGGAGTTATTTTAAGACATACGATACAAGATCGTTCCTTGCCTCGTGTACCCACTACTGAAGTGTATGGTCATTGGAGACATTCAACAGCTTCACAAGTTCCCAATGATCTTGAGTCACATAGTTACACGTACATCGATACCGAGAACGATTGATGTTTTTTTTATTTTTGATCATGATTCATATTTTTACCCACAATAATATAGTGATAATAACTCTCATCATTATTCTGTGCTATTGTTCGCCAATCTACAAATGATTTAATTATAATCTATTTTATTTTAATTACAACAAATATCAACGGTTTGTTAGATATGTAGTGCAATAATTCAATAAGATATTGTATACGTGGTTTTCATTACATTCACAATCTTACACTGTGATTCTGGTGTATTATAATACATAATGAACAAGTATAATAACATTATTATATTATGTTGTCAACAATGCTTAGATAATGGGTACATTGATATTTGGTTGCTGTCATGCTGTTCTTTTAGGATGTATCATCAGGAGACCGATTTATACTTGGTGAAGATTATGCACTATTGTACGTTGTTGATGACCGTACGTCGTTACGTATAAAAAAATATACACGTTTAAAGATAGTACGCAGATATAGTTGACATGTTATGAAAATGGTATTGTTTATAGACGCTGGATATATAAATGCTTAGTAATATCTCATTAATCGATTTTGCAGATAGTTCATTAAATGTGAACAATTATCATTTCCTTACCAGCACCAGAGTTTTTTTTTAAATTATAATTTCTATTCTCTGTTCCAGGCCTAAAATGTGGTATGATAACATTATTGACGGTTACATTTACATGTATCTCTAAAAGAGTTTATCCAGTGACTCTACAATAAATACTAGGACAAATTTGGTTTAAAGGCGGGTTTCTAGATGCTTTATAGACTTTAAATCATTGGTAATACTAATGTTTAGTTTGATGGGTACATTTATAGTACATAGGTCTATTTGCAGGGGCGGATTTCAAAAATTTTGCGCGGGGGTGGGGGTGTGGGGGTGTGGGAGCATGCCCCGGATGCATTATTTGTTTCCCATACATTTAAGACAGAAATTACTGAGGGTGCTATTTTAGGTCAGTTAGGTGAACCGATATGCATACCAGACCACTCCTTCGAGACGAGTAGGGGGATACCCCGGTGTACTGGAACAGACAGCCCCTGTGGTGGACGACGAGAGTTGCTGGTACCGGGTTACCGGGTAGCACAGACACGAAGGGACCCTTAGGGGCGAAGAAAGTAATTGATCGAGTTCCTAGTCCACATTTCAAGCGCCCTGAGCATCTTACATTAGATGGATTTGTGCGCTATATAAAACTACACTATTATTATTATTATTATTATCGAGTAAACTACAGTGCTTATGAGTGATCAACACTATGGAGTAGGCCGAAATCTATTAAATAGGCCTTGGTAGTTAAGACAGTGTGAAAATTAATGGACTATAATTGTAGTAATATCCGTATGACTAGACACAGTTTATGTACAGCATGGTTTTTCAAAGTATAAAAAGCATTAATTATTTAATCTGGCTATTTGAGTAGGCCTACAGTATAGTATCCTAGATATGACATGTGTTGTAGCAGTTGTATGCCCCTTATTAAATAGCTAATTCTGAAGGATATAAACGTTTAGAAATGCTCGGAGGCAAATTACGAGTACTTCGGACACAGTTGCTAACTTACAATTTTACAATTAAATTTTATGAGAAAAAAATCCTTTGTCAATTAACAGACAGTGAACGTATTTGCTGTATGCGTTTACATGATTCATTGGTTGGTAACTTAAGGATTTTTTTTGTATTAATTCTGAGTTCGATCGTTTTAATTATTCAATTTTGTAATTGGATAAACAGCCTTTAATATAAACAGTACGACATATCATAGAATACCGTCACATTTGGTATAATCAATATTTGTTTCTATGCAAATATATATGCCTATTACTTTTATTTATATTGAAAATGAACGACATTTTTGTGAGATATCAACATTATAACAATACTACACTGTACTAAAACAATTCCCTGGTATATTATATGTATGCCATACTGTATTTTCTTACCCCATTACTCAAATAACCAACCAGATTCAACGCTGCTTTTTATACAACTTTCAAAGACCATGCTGTAAGTAAAATTTGTCTAGGCATATGGATATTGCAATTACAATACTATAACATTATTTCATTAATTTTCACTGTCTCGACCAACTACCAAGAGATTTCGGCCTACCTTAACATCACGGGCAATTTCATATTCCACAAGCAGCAAAAACTGCTTTCGCTACTCGCGAGGGGAAATCGACATGCATAATTATTCAGGTCTATCAGTTCACCTAACTTACCTAGAATAGAGCCCTCTGTAATTTGGGCCTTAAGTGTATGGGGAAAAAATAATGAGCCCCGGAACCACTAGGGTGGTGTTATGTCTATCGGCCCCACTTGCATTACCAACGATAATTAGTTTAGTGGGAACGTTTATGTTTCATTGTTGTGGTGCCGTCATTGTTTTTGAAGATGTTCCATCAGGTGACAGAATTACTCTTGGAGAGGACCATGCATTATACTGTGTTGTTAGTGGCATGGTAAACGAAGAACTGATATGGTATAAAGATGGTAGGCAAATACAGTTAACAGAAGATGAAATACGAATTTCTATAGCAAAACGCGAACTATCTAACGGAAATTTATCAACATTGGTTATTGACAATGTAATGCAAGGTGATGCTGGGTTGTATCAATGCGTCATTATATCACCGATGTCTGGGTCGGTGTCAAGTAGTTCTCCAGAAGCTGAATTGCTTATTCTTTCGCTACCCGCACCAGAATATCCTCTTTGTTCTGAGCCTGATAGTGCTATTATTGCAGGATCAACGGTAGAATTAACATGTGTTTCTGAAAGAGTGTTTCCCAAAGTGAGGTTACACTTTACTCGCAACTCTGAACCCGTGAATACGAGAACAATGCTCACTGAAACAGGTAACTTAGTAACACTCTCGCTCACATTACCAACAAAAAAAGATAATAATGGCGAAATTTATGAATGTCACCAATATTCATCTCAAATTACCAAAAATCATGTATGATGAAACCTTTAAACATACAATACCAACCTGAGATAAAAATACAGCATACTTATCCAGTAATACCAGGACGAGAGACGATTCTATTCTGTCAGACGTTTGCTAACCCATCTGTTTTAAGCTATCAGTGGACATCAGTGCCTCAATTAAGAACGGAAGATATAATTATTGATGTGACTGGACAAGTATTAAAGCTCTTGAAACCTAAATTAACACAAACTGGAACAAATATAACATGTATTGCTACTAATGAAGTTGGAAAAGTGTCATCATCTATAATATTACAGGTTTCTCATTCTGTAGGTAATTCGGAAACTAACAAAAATCCACAAGAATCAACAAGTAATCAAAAAACAGAAACGTCAACAAAAAATATCGGTTTATCATTGGACGTCATAATCATCATCACTGCTGGTGTTGTTATTATTGTTGTACTTGTTGTTCTGGTTCCCGTCTATCATTACTGTTTGTGTCGTAACAATGATACTACTACCGTTAATGCGTCAGGAGAAGCAATAACTCAACCAGAAGTGTATTATGAATCTAGAGATGGAGTAATTTTAAGGCATACGATACAAGATCGTTCATTGCCTCGGGTACCTACTACAGAAGTGTATGGTCATTGGCGACATTCAACGGCTTCACAAGTTCCAAATGATCTTGAATCACATAGCTACACATACATTGATACCGAGAACGATTAATCTCATTATACTCCTAAAATTAATATCCTGTTATATTTCAACCACACAATTTTAGTGTAAATAGTCACCACTATCTTACCTTCACAAACTTTTGTCTAACAAATAATAAATGTTTAATATATCTGCAAAACTGAAAGTATCAACGTTTTTGTAAATACCATTTTCAAACTTTTCAGTGAATTTTTGAGTACGGGAAACATCACTTCGTATTGGACTGGTAGTCATATGACTATGAAAATTCTTGTTTATTAGTGTAAAACCCTTATTTCATTCTTAAATTTTTAGTTGATTTTCGATGATATGCCATATATTAAGACGAGTTGGAATCAAAAGTGTAAATCAAAATGTTTAATATACTGTTTAAAATACTGGTAACACCAACAATAATTAGTTTGATGGGAACGTTTATATTTTATTGTTGTGGTGCTGTTTTTATTTTTGAAGATGTTCCATCAGGAGACAGGATTAGACTTGGTGAGGATCATTTACTCTCGTGTGTTGTTAGTGGCATGGTAAATGAGAGGTTGACGTGGTATAAAGATGGTCAGCAAATACAGTTAGCAGAAGATGACGATGATACACGAATTTCTATAGCAAAAAGCGAACTATCTAACGGAAATTTATCTACATTGGTTATTGACAACGTAATGCAAGGTGATGCTGGGTTGTATCAATGCGTCATTATATCATCGATGTCTGGGTCGGTGTTGAGTAGTTCTCCAGAAGCCGAATTGATTATTCTTTCGCTACCCGCACCAGAATATCCTCTTTGTTCTGAGCTTGATAGTGCTATTATTGCAGGATCAATAGTAGAATTAACATGTGTTTCTGAAAGAGTGTATCCTCAAGTGAGTTTACAATTTACTCGCAACTCTGAAACCGTGAATACGAAGAAAATGTTAACAGAAACAGGTAACTTAGTAACACTACTGTTAACATTAACAGCACAAAAAGATAACAATGGTGACATTTACGATTGTCACCAATATTCATCGCTGGAATCAAATTATCAAAAATCATGTACGATGAAACCTTTAAACATACAATACAAACCTGAGATAAAAATACAGCATACTAATCCAGTAATACCTGGACGAGAAACAATTCTCTTTTGTCAGACATTTGCTAATCCGCCAGTCTCACGTTATCAATGGATATCAGTGCCTCAATTGAAAGCAGAAGATATATTTACTGATGGAAATGGACAAGTATTGAAGCTGTTACGACCTTCATTAAAACAAAGTGGAACAAATATAACGTGCATTGCTACTAATGAAATTGGACAAGTATCATCATCTATAGAATTACAAGTTTCTCAAACAATAAGAAATCCAGAAAATAATAAAAATCCACACGAATCAACAAATAATAAAAATCCACACGAATCAACAAATAATCAAATGACAGAAATGTCAAATAATGGAATTGGTTTATCATTGGATGTTGTTATCATCATTGCTGCCGGTGTTGTTATTATTGTTGTACTTGTTGTTCTAGTTCCCGTTTATCATTATTGTTTGTGTCGTAACAATAACACGACCACAATTGATTCTTTAGGAAAAGAAGTAACTCAGCCTGAAGTGTATTATGAGGCTAGGGAGGGAGTTATTTTAAGACATACGATACAAGATCGTTCCTTGCCTCGTGTACCCACTACAGAAGTGTATGGTCATTGGAGACATTCAACAGCTTCACAAGTTCCAAATGATCTTGAGTCACATAGTTACACATACATTGATACAGAGAACGATTAATGGTATTCTTAATTCATATTATATTATTGTATTACCACATTGTGTAAATAGCTCTCATCATTATGGTTGCTAATTGTACTTTTATAAGGAGAAAATTTAACTTTTAATATGTTTAATTGTAAAGTTAAAAAGCATAATAGTGATAAATAGTGGAGGACAGTTCATAGTTTAGTGGTTAATGGATTTATTTCTCAAGGCCAGAAACAACTCTACTCCCTAAGCCTCAAAAGGACATAGTTTACAACGCATCGTGCCATCCTGTATTTGCTGTTGAGTGTGAAATGGCACTTACTATGAAGGCAGTTATATTAATTTTGTAAAATGTTTAATACGTGAAACACGACTTTATATTTACGTGGTAATCAGATGAATATGCATACATTCGTTTATTTAAGTCTTATTCTTAATTTTAACTTCGTTTTGAATGTTACACCTGATAAATTAAGGCTAGATTGAAACAGATGTGTGCATCAATATGTTTAATAAATATTTCAAAATAGTGGTGATACCTGGAGTTATTAGTTTGATGGTAGGTACGGTGGTATTAGTTTGCTGTGATGCTGCTATTGTTTTTGATGATGTTCCATCAGGTGCTGAAATTAAGCTTGGTGAAGATCATGCACTATATTGTGTTGTTAGTGGCATGGTAAACGAAGACCTGGTGTGGTTTAAAGACGGAACGCAAATAAATTTGAAACAAGATAGAGATGATACCCGAATTTCATTAGTGAAAAATGAATTATCTAACGGATATTTCTCAACATTGGTAATAAACAATGTAATACGAAATGATTCTGGGCTGTATCAATGTGTTGTCATGTCACCGGTATCCAGAAAAATGTTGGATAGCTCACCAGAAGCTGAATTAATTATCCTCTCTCTACCAGCTCCACGGTATCCTATTTGTTCTGAGCCAGAAAATAACATTATTGCAGGATCGACATTAACATTTACATGTGTTTCTGAAAGGGTTCATCCAACAGTGACTTTACAGTTTATTCGCGATACCAAAGCAGTAAACACGAGGATAAAATTGATGGAAGCAGGTAATTTATTAACATTACAGTATACATTAACAACGACAAAAGATAACAATGGTGAAATTTACGAATGTCACCAACATTCACCACTGGATTTAAATTATCAGAAATCGTGTACGATGAAACCTTTAAACATACAATACAAACCAGAGATAAAAATACAACATACTAATCCAGTGATACCTGGGCGGGAGACAATTATCTTTTGTCAGACATTTGCTAACCCACCTGTTTCACATTATCAGTGGATATCAGTGCCTCAATTAAGAGCTGGAGATATAATTATTGATGGGACTGGACAAGTATTAAGGCTCTTGAGACCTACATTAACACAAACTGGAACAAATATAACATGTATTGCTACAAATGAAATTGGGAAGGTATCATCATCTGTAGAACTACAAGTGTCTATAGGTAATTCAGAAACTAAAAACAACCCAGAGGAATCAATAAGTAATCTAAAATCAGAAACGTCAACAAAACACTTTGGTTTATCATTGGACGTTATAATCATCATCGCTGCTGGTGTTGTTATTATTGTTGTACTTGTTGTTCTGGTTCCCGTCTACCATTATTGTTTGTGTCGCCACAATGATACTACTACCGTTAATGCGTCAGGAGAAGTAGTAACTCAACCAGAAGTGTATTATGAATCCAGAGATGGAGTAATTTTAAGACATACGATACAAGATCGTTCATTGCCTCGTGTACCTACAACAGAAGTGTATGGTCATTGGAGACATTCAACGGCTTCACAAGTTCCAAATGATCTTGAATCACATAGCTACACATACATTGATACAGAGAACGATTAATCTCATTATATTCCTAAAATTAATATCCTGTTTTATTTCAACCACACAATTTTAGTGTAAATAGCCACCACTATCTTAACATAATATTTTTGTATATTAAATGTTTATTATATCTGCAAAACTGAAAGTACCAACGTTTGTAAGTACCATGTGTTAAGGTAGTAACATTTTCAGTGAACATTTGAGTACGGGAAACATTACTTTATATTGGACTTGTAGTCATATGACTATAAAAACCTTTGTTATTGGAGTAAAACCCCTATTTCATTCTTAAATTTTAACTTGGTTTTTCGATGATATGCCTGATATTAAGACGAATTTGAATCAAAAGTGAAAATCAACATGTTTAATATACTATTTAAAATACTAGTAACACCAACAATAATTAGTTTGATGGGAACGTTTATATTTCATTGTTGTGGTGCTGTTTTTATTTTTGAAGATGTTCCATCAGGAGAAAGGATTAGACTTGGTGAGGATCATTTTTTTTCTTGTGTTGTTAGTGGCATGGTAAATGAAAAGCTGACGTGGTATAAAGATGGTCTGCAAATACAGTTAACAGAAGATGATGATGATACACGAATTGCTATAGCAAAAAGTGAACTATCTAACGGAAATTTATCTACATTGGTTATAAACAATGTAATGCAAAGTGATGGTGGGCTATATCAATGCGTCGTTATGTCACCGATGTCTGAGTCGGTTTTGAGTAGTTCTCCAGAAGCCGAATTGATAATTCTTTCGCTACCCGCACCAGAATATCCTCTTTGTTCTGAACCTGATAGTGCTATTATTGCAGGATCAACGGTAGAATTAACATGTGTTTCTGAAAGAGTGTATCCCCAAGTGAGTTTACAATTTTCTCGCAACTCTAAAACCGTGAATACGAGAAAAATGTTATCAGAAACAGGCAACTTAGTAACACTTCCGTTTACATTAACAACCAGCAAAGATAACAATGGTGACATTTACGAATGTCACCAATATTCATCTCTGGATTCAAATTATCAGAAATCATGTACGATGAAACCTTTAAACATACAATACAAACCTGAGATAAAAATACAGCATACTAATCCAGTAATACCTGGACGAGAGACGATCCTCTTTTGTCAGACATTTGCTAACCCTCCTGTTTCACGCTATCAGTGGACATCAGTGCCTCGATTAAAAGTTGAAGATATAATCATTGATGGAACAGGACAAGTTTTAAAGCTCTTGCAACCTACATTAATACAAGCTGGAACAAATATAACATGTATTGCTACAAATGAAATTGGAAAGGTATCATCATCTATAGAATTACAAGTTTCTCAATCTTCTTTAGGTAATTCAGAAACTAAAAACAATCCACACGAATCAATAAGTAATCAAATATCAGAAACGTCTACGAAAAATATTGGTTTATCATTGGACGTCATAATCATCATCGCTGCTGGTGTTGTTATTATTATTGTACTTGTTGTTCTAGTTCCTGTCTACCATTATTGTTTGTGTCGTAACAATAATACTACGACCGTTAATGCGTCAGGAGAAGAAGTAACTCAACCAGAAGTGTATTATGAATCTAGAGATGGAGTAATTTTAAGACATACGATACAAGATCGGTCATTGCCTCGTGTACCTACTACAGAAGTATATGGTCATTGGAGACATTCAACAGCTTCACAAGTTCCCAATGATCTTGAGTCACATAGCTACACATACATTGATACCGAAAATGACTAATCTTACTCTACTCCTAAACTTAATATACTGTTTTATTTCAACAAAATTCTAATAGTCTAAATAGCTACCACTGTATTTTTGTCTTTACAGTATTGTCTAACAATTACTAAATGTTTAATATATCAATGAAACTGAATGTATCAATACGTTTGTAGTAACATTTTCAGTGAAATGTTGAATACGTGAAACTTTACTTTATAATGGGCTGGTAGTCATATGAATAATTTGCAGTAAAACCCTTATCTCATTCTTAAATTTTAACTTGATTTTCGATGATATGGCATATATTAAATCTACTTTGAATCAAAATTGTGCATCATCATGTTTCATTATGCTGTTTAAAACACTTGTAATACCAACAACAATTATAATGATGGGTACGTTTACATTTCATTATTTCATTGCTGTGGTGCCGTTATTATTTTTGAAGATGTTCCATCAGGTGATAGAATTAAGCTCGGTAATGATCATGCACTGTCGTGTGTTGTTAGTGGCATGGTAAATGAAAGGCTGATGTGGTTTAAGGATGGTCTGCAAATACAGTTAACAGAAGATGACGATGATACACGAATTTCTATAGCAAAAAACGAACTATCTAATGGAAATTTATCAACATTATTCATAAACAATGTAATGCAAAGCGATGTTGGGCTGTATCAATGCGTTTTGATATCTCAGATATCTGAATTGATGATAGATAGTTCGCCAGACGCTGAAATAATTATCCTTTCTCTACCAGCACCAGAATATCCTCTTTGCTCTGAGCTTGATAGTGCTATTATTGCAGGATCAACGGTAGAATTAACCTGTGGTTCTGAAAGAGTGTATCCCCAAGTGAGTTTACAATTTACTCGCAACTCTGAACCTGTGAATACGAGGACAACGTTCACAGAAACAGATAATTTAGTAACACTCCAGCTCACATTAACAACAAAAAAAGAAAACAATGGTGACATTTACGATTGTCACCAATATTCATCGATGGATACAAATTATCAAAAATCATGTACAATGAAACCTTTAAACATTCAATACAATCCTGAGATAAAAATACAACATACTAATCCCGTATTATCTGGACGAGAGACAATTATTTTCTGTCAGACATTTGCTAACCCACCAGATTCACGTTATCAGTGCACATCAGCGCCTAAATTAAAAGCGGAAGATATAAACATTGATGAAACTGGGCAAGTATCAAAAGCTCTTGAGACCTACGTTAACACAAACTGCAACAAATGTAACATGTATTGCTACTAATGAAATTGGAGGCGTATCATCATTTATAGAATTACAAGTTCCTCACTCGATAGGTAATTCAATAACTAAAAATCCACACGAATCAACAAGTACTCAAAAATCAGGAACGTCACCGAAAATATTGGTTTATCATTAGACGTTATGATCATCATCACTGCTGGTGCTCTTATTATTGTTGTACTTCTTGTTCTGGTTCCCGTCTACCATTATTGTTTGTGTAGAAATAATGTCACAATGACCGTTAATTCTTCAGGAAAAGAAATGACTCAACCAGAAGTGTATTATGAATCTAGAGATGGGGTAGTTTTAAGACATACGATACAAGATCGTTCATTGCCTCGTGTACCTACTACAGAAGTGTATGATCATTGAAGACATTCAACGGCTTCACAAGTTCCAAATGATTTTGAGTCACATAGTTACAAATACATTGATACCGAGAACGATTAACTTTATTCTACTCCCAAAATTTTTATCCTGCTTTACTTCAACCATATTATTATAGTGTAAATAACTACATATTGTGTAACAATATTTCGATCTAACAAATGTTAAATGTTCAATATAGCAGCTAAACTGAAAGTATCAACGTTTTGAAATATTCCTGATGATGACATAATCAATGTCGAAATATTGGATCCCGACACGATGGCGTGCATTTAGATACTTGGAGTATGTATTATACTATCTTATTCGTAAATACCATTTCTGAACGTAGTAAAATTTTCAGCAAACTTAGAAGTACGTGAAACATTACCTTATATTGGACTGGTAGTCATATGACTATGAAAACCTTGGTTATTGCATTAAAGCCCATTTATTTTTAAATTTAACTTTCGATGATATATCTGATATTAAGACGAGTTTGAATCAAAAGTGTAAATCAACATGTTTAATATCCAGTTTAAAACACTGGTAATACTAACAATAATTAGTTTGATGGGAACGTTTATATTTCATTGTTGTGGTGCTGTTTTTATTTTTGAAGATGTTCCATCAGGTGACAGAATTAGGCTTGGTGAGGATCATTTACTCTCGTGTGTTGTTAGTGGCATGGTAAATGAAAGGCTGACGTGGTATAAAGATGGTCTGCAAATACAGTTAACAGAAGATGACGATGATACACGAATTTCTATAGCAAAAAGCAAACTATCTAACGGAAATTTATCTACATTGGTTATAAACAATGTAATGAAAAATGATGCTGGGCTATATCAATGCGTCGTTATATCACCGATGTCTGAGTTGGTGTTGGGTAGTTCTCCTGAAGCTGAATTGATTATTCTTTCGCTACCCGCACCAGAATATCCACTTTGTTCTGAGCCTGATAGTGCTATTATTGCAGGATCAACGGTAGAATTAACATGTGTTTCTGAAAGAGTGTATCCCCAAGTGAGTTTACAATTTACTCGCAACTCTGAGCCCGTGAATACCAGAAAAATGTTAACAGAAACAGGTAACTTATTAACACTTCCGTTTACATTAAAAACCAGCAAAGATAACAATGGTGACATTTACGAATGCCACCAATATTCATCTCTGGATTCAAATTATCAAAAGTTATGTACGATGAAACCTTTAAACATACAATACAAACCTGAGATAAAAATACAGCATACTAATCCAGTGCTACCTGGACGAGAGACAATTCTATTTTGTCAGACATTTGCTAACCCGCCTGTTTCATATTATCAGTGGACATCAGTACCTCAATTAAGAGCAGAAGATATCATCGTTGGTAGAACTGGACAAGTACTAAAGTTATTACGACCTTCATTATCACATAGTGGAACAAATATAACATGTATTGCTACTAATGAAATTGGAAAAGTATCGTCATCTATAGAACTACAAGTTTCTTACTCTATAGGTAATTCAGAAACTAATAACAATCCACACGAATCAACAAGTAATCAAAAATCAGAAACGTCAGCAAAAAATATTGGTTTATCATTGGACGTTATAATCATCATCGTTGCTGGAGTTGTTATTATTGTTATACTTGTTGTTCTGGTTCCCGTCTACCATTACTGTTTGTGTCGTAACAATACTACGACCGTTAATGTGTCCGGAGAAGAAGTAACTCAACCAGAAGTGTATTATGAATCTAAAGATGGAGTAATTTTAAGGCATACGATACAAGATCGTTCATTGCCTCGTGTACCTACCACAGAAGTGTATGGTCATTGGAGACATTCAACGGCTTCACAAGTTCCCAATGATCTTGAATCCCATAGTTATACATATATTGATACTGAGAATGATTAAATTTTTT